AATGCGGTGCCATAGTGTGTGTTTGCACCAACGCAGTGTCACTAGTGGTTTTTGGCACTTAAATGCAGTGCCACTAGTGCATATTGGCACACCAATGCAGTGCCACTAGCATGTGTTGGTGCACCAATGCAGTGCCATTAGCATGTCTTGGTGTGCCAATGCTGTGCCACTAGCATGTCTTGGAGCACTGATGCTGTGCTACTAGCGTATCTTGGAGTGCCAATGCAGTGCCTCTAGTGTGTCTTGGCGCACCAATGCTGTGCCACTACGTGTTTTGGTGCACCCCAATGCAGTGCCTCTAGCGTGTCTTGGAGTGCCAATGCAATGCTAGTACCAGAGATTTCTTTCTTCACATGTGCAGAGGAGAAGTCATGTAAAGACACAGTGAGAGTGTGGCCACAATGAAAGACCTCACCAGAAACCTAGCCTAATGATATCTGGAACTTGGACTTCTAGCCCCCCAGACCTGTGAGTAATAAACTCCTGTTGATAAGCCACCCAGTATGTAGTGGTGTTTTTTTTGGGGGGGGGTGCCTTTTTTGGCAAAAAATCCGTAAAGTTGGGCAGTGTCGCTGTGTCCTTCATACCAATCATTCCATCTGGGTTTGAACCTGCCACCTCCCACATATGGGCCAGTGCCCTACTCCTTTGAGCCACAGGTGCTGCCCCCAGTGTGTGTTATTTTGTTGTGAACCCAGTGTGAGGGCTGCTGCTGGCCTGATGTACAAGAAAAGGCTCTAGAGATCATACCTGGCTAAGTACACTGAGCTGTCTCAGTTCTGAGCAGAACAAGGCAGTACCAGAGCCAGTGGAAGGAGATGCTGTTATAAAGAGGTAGGATTATTATGTGAGCTGAGCTGCCAGAGGTCATGAGAGGGCCTGCATGACAGCATGATAGAAAAGCCAACACCCAGAGGAAAGTGAAGACCAGAGATGAAGGTCCTTAGTGTGTCAAAAAAACACCCAAATCCCACCTGCCTGAAATGGATATATACCTCTGCCTAGTGCAGTTACACAGCCCAATCAATTCTTTTTGCACGAGTTTAGTTTGTCATTGTGACCAAAAGCACTATGACTAGTACAGAGTCAATTTTCATTGCTTTTTTTCATTTTATCTGATCAGATGTATCATCATAATCACACTGGTATAAAAGTGATGGTGGACAGTCAGTGACACTCTAATTAAAGCCTTGGAACTGTCAATAAGCCACCTGCACCCTGTTGGTGTAGAGGAAAGAAGAACTTGGAAATTCTTGAATTCTCATCAGTTATTGAGAGGCCACCCATCTAAGAATGTGACATCTTTAAAGAGCAATGAAGCCCTTTGCTGTAGGGGTACAGTACCCCATGCTAAGACATGGCAGTTTAGCTTCATGTGCTCCCCACGGAAAATGGCTCTTAGATGGGATTCTTTTTCTCTAAGGACTGGCCTAGGCCTGCAGAAATGCCGAAACGTTCTCAGTTCTCACAAACAAATAAACCGGAGAGCCAGACCTGGGTCGCAGCTGGAAGCTGGAACACCTGTCAAGGCATTGGACTATTGAGCTCTGCTCCTCTCCCCTCATTAATATTATAATCACTCATTTTGGTTTAGGGAAATTGGGCTAACAAGAGCAGATAGCCAGGCTCCCTTATGTTTTAACCCCAAACAAAATCAATTGTATACGTGTTCAGCAGCAATCGTACTGAATTGTAATCTTAATGGCAGTTTCCTGATCTTACTTCACTTCTTTTTACCTGTACTGAATTCTTACTGAATGTTTAAGAGTATATAAGATAATCAGTAAAGTTGGGGAGGGTCGCTGTCCCTTTCATACCAATCATTCCGTCTGCAGTTTCCTTTCTCTGCATCAACAAACAGAGGGCTTCAGGGAATACCAACTCTTTGCCTAAGCCCTTGTTCCCCTATGGGACAGCCATTCCTACACAGCAAGCCACACATCAGTGTAGACAGCTCAGTGTACTTAGCCAGGTCTGATCTCTGGAGCCTTTTCTCATACATCAGGCCAGCAACAGCCCTCACACTGCTAAGTACCTTGCTCAGCACTTAACTGGTCATGATAAAGCAATAAGCATTGAGTGGCCAACACAGTGATTAGTTCCTATTGGAGCTGGGTGGCATATTAGTCAACACCAGGCAGAAAAGCCCAGCATCTCAGCAATATTTCCTGGGTGGATTCAGGAACCGATAGTGATTCTCAAACTTGAACATGTGCAGATTCACAGGGTGGGGTTAGGAGGAAAGGGTGGGGGTTGGGGTTAGGAGGACTTGTCAAAACACAGACTGCTGAGCCCCACCTCAAGAGTTTCTGATTTAGCAGGTCAGCATGGGGCTCTAGAATTTAGATTTCATACAAGTTCTCAGATGATGCTGGTGCTGATCTGGGGACTATACACTGAATATCACTGAGTTAGAAGATTATTGGAGAATCGGATAAAGCCCTCTCAGAGGAAAGATTATCTAGCACTTGGTTTTTCTGCTTCCCTGAAGCCCTCACTTCAACAAAAATCCCCTGTCATCTCCATTCTGGGCTATGAAGCCTTGGACAACTATAGGAGCAGTGAGAGTGTAAATCTACATGAAGAATGATATGCAACACTAACTTCATGCCAGTGGGTATAGAAATGCCAGAAATGTCACAGTATGCCTGTATGTCTACCACATTGTCACAGCAGCCCCCAGGTGTAATTATTCCTGATTTACAGGGAAAGAAATGGAAGTACCAGGCAGCTGTGACTGTTGTCTAAAAAGAAGACACATATTGAAAGCAAAAATTTTTGGTCATGAGAATTATCAAGTGTGCTTTCTATAAAAGTAGAAAAAATAGCACAACGAATCTCCAGATGTCTCAATTCTAGTAGACTTTGGTAATGACAGAGGCTCAAACTTGAGTATACATCAGAATCACTTGAGAGACTTGTCAAAACAGACACTGTATGAGTATCATTCCACATTCTAGAATTTCTTTCTTT